CTGATGCTCTCCGACCTTGGTGGTTTTCTTGCAGACATTTCCTGACCCAACTAGGTAACATCCTCAGTGCTAGAAGGGAGTGAAGATTGTGGAGTGGAAGAGAAGAACGGAAGGAAGAGGACCATGGATTCTGATGCTCTCCGACCTTGGTGGTTTTCTTGCAGACATTTCCTGACCCAACTAGGTAACATCCTCAGTGCTAGAAGGGAGTGAAGATTGTGGAGTGGAAGAGAAGAACGGAAGGAAGAGGACCATGGATTCTGATGCTCTCCGACCTTGGTGGTTTTCTTGCAGATGTTTCATTACCAAACTACGTAACATCATCAGGGCTAGAAGGAGATAGGGGTTTGCTCTAGGTTTATGTAGCAGTGGCTTGCCCTGTCGGTGTTGGTGGAGAACTTCTTGGCAGTTCTTTAATTAGGCTGTTATTTATTGAGTTGGTAATCAGCTAAAAACAGCAGGCCTCACTCCCTTCTCGCACTGATGCTGTTACCTAGTTGGGTCGTGAAACATCTGCAAGAAAACCTCCAAGCTCAGAGAGCATCAAGGACCCCGCAGTTCATCTCTGAGCTACAGATATTCTCTTCCGTCGGCACCCAAGCTCTCCATCCAGTGCCCAGAACTGAGAGATAAGATAAAGTCCTCGGGTTACGACAGTGATCTGAAACTTCCATCACCAGAAAGGTCATAACTTTGAAAAATGGTCCCAAGTCACTTTTTTCAGCGCCGTTGTCACTATATGAACTGTTGTAAGTCGAGGACTCTCTGTTCTGAAAAAAAGTGATTTACGACCATTTGACAACTGTGATCCTAAGGATGCTGCAGTGGTCGTAAGTGTGAAAATCAGCCGTAAGTCCCTGTTTTCAGTTTTACTCGTCCTTCCTGGTTGGTCTCTCCTTTAAAAGCTCTCCCGCTTCCCTTCTTTCTCCAGATCCTTCAGCGCCTCCTTGTTCTGGCCCAAGAGGCCCTTCAGGTGTTGGAGAAGCAGCTGATGGACCCTCTGGGAAACCAGGATGTGAAGGTGAGTTCTTCAAGAGATGACAAGAGGCCCTTTTCACCAGAGATGGACCATCCCAGGATGGTCGTATCCCACTTTGAATTCTCCCCTCAAGCTGGGGGAAATCGCAATGGGGCAACTCGCCACGGCCAACTCCCCATAGTCAGCGCCCCATGATCAACCCCCCATGACCAGCTCACCACTGTCAACTCACCATGGTCAACTCCCTAAGACCAGCTCATCAAGGCCACCTCCCCATGGCCAACTCCCCAAGACCAACTTATCAAGGCCAAATCTCCATGGTCAACTCCCCATAGTCAACTCACTACAGTCAACTCNGTGATTGGCCCAAAGTCACCCACTGGACTTCCACGCCTAAGGGGGGACCATAATTCACCGTCTCCTAGTGATGGGTGCAAAGTCACTCAACCATCTTTTGTGCCTGAAAGATGGTGAGGACTAGAACTCTCACCATTTCCCGATTTCTAGCTTGATTCCTTAACCACTTGACCAAATTGCTTCTCTCTCTTTCCCTCCCTTTGAATTTTGCTAAACGTATGATTGCAAATAAACGTTTACGTGCAAAAAAGCATTTCAGAAATGGGCAAACGTCTTCTGACATGGTGACATTTGGGTTTTTTTTTCCCCATCCAGAGGCAGATTATGTAGCCATCAGAAGCCACTTCGTGGAAGCCCGGCCGCGTCTCCCGGCCATGTTCATTGCTACGCCGAAAGACCAGAAACACTCCATGTGGACCAGAGAGAAGCCGTCACCTCAGGTATGTCGAGCTGTGGCCACCTTACCTGGGCAGGTTCTCCTCCTCTACTCCTCATTACGGAATCAGATCAGCTCTTGGACGCTTCTGTTGGCACGGATGAATGAAAGGTCCAGTTTGAAGGCCTGTCCTTCGTGTGGCCAGTTGGGCCCATTTCTTCTCCTCACTTGGTTGCAAGAGAACTGGTGAAATCTCTCATTGCCCACTCAGCTTCTTTTCAGGTGGTTTTCTTGCCGATGTTTCACGACCCAACTAGGTCACATCATCAGTGCAAGAAGGGAGTGAGATTTATGGAGAGGAGGAGGAGGGAGGAGGAGGAGGAGAGAACTATGCAGTCCATGGTGCTCTCTGAGCTTGTTCACTTTCTTGCAGACATTTCATCACCCAACTAGGTAGCGTCATCAGTCCTTGAAGGGAGGAGGATGAAACTGTGCAGCAGTCTTTTTCATGCTCTCTGAACTTGATAGTTTTCGTGCAAACATTTCATGACCCAAGTAGGCAACGTCATCAGTGCAAGAAGGGATTGAGATTTATGAAGAGGAGGAGGAGGAGGAGGAGG